TAGCACGAAACCCGAGTCCAGGGTTTCCTGTTGACCACCTACAACCACTATCTTATCTCAACATAAAGCACGCAGTGTCAAGTCACCTAGACTAGTGGCCACATTGCAACTTGATCGATAGCATTCGATCAGCACTAAGAAGGACTTGACACTCATGACATTGATCACCACCCAGTGATCAATCAATTGTGATGTTTATTAAATTACTTCTTTGAATAACATAACAGTGGTATAACATTTAACGAATAGCGACTTAATACAGATTGAAGTTGATAAATCAATCAAACATCAACGTAATTGGGATCTTAAATTCACTTAGTATTGTTTGTTTGAATCTTCCCATTGATGTTTAGGACTGCAACTGGTCCCAGAGTAAACATCAACTCTGAGATGCAGGTACATCCAGCTGACGAGTCCCAAATAGGACGAAACGCGCGTCAGACTGGATTCCACTGCTAACCACTATCCATCTTCGCTTATAATTGTCATCATAGTTTACCAACATTATTTAAGTCGAAGCACAGTAAATGTTTACCATCTACTGAGTAGATCATGAAATTGGATATTGAAAGATATAATGAAGAGAGGAATTTCTTTTAGAAAAACTAAAGGTTCATTTGTATATTTTTACAATTCATTGGTCTGTTTAGCTTTAATGAACATTATTTTTCCAGTATCTCATTTAGTATTGATTTAGATCTTTGTCAACTTAGATGAAAAATAATCATAACTCTGTGCTCTTCAAATAAAAAAAAGTGCTCTGTTATGTGTAAATACCATGTAGTTGAATACGTGTCATACAAATAAGTCTCTATATATTACCTACTTGTTTTGTTAGTTTACAACTTATACATTTCTGAGTTTCATAATTTACATCTCGAACTGACCTTATTTAGGCAATCATTGAAAAGCAGAAAGCACTAAGTGACGATTTCGTCTTAGTATAAAACTCCTCAATGGTGTCCAGCCATGATCCTGCTAGGATGCCTATTCAATGGTTCAAAAACTAGGTATTTGCTACAAGACTTGAAAAGCCATGGGTTCGATCCTCAGTAGGATTGTAAGTTTACACTGCCAGAGATCATTATAATAAGGTGTAACAGCTATTTCATGGCTTCCTGCCTTTTAGAGGTTATTTAAGATCGTTGGATGTAATAAACTATGAAATTCTACAATCTCCACAAACCCGCTATCTCTCTCTCTCTCTATATATATATATATATATATATATAGTGACTTCATTTTTGTCACTGTAATAGATTTAGCAACTCTAAACCCCCATCTATTAACTCTTACATAGTACAGAGTAAAGTCAGTGATATCCTAGCAACAAATATCTTTTTTGAAAAGCGTACAACTGCTATTCTATTTCAACCATTAATTGATTATGTATCTTATCATATTTAGTAAACAATGAATAACCATTGTGAATACTTCGCCTTTAAAGGAATTGATTTTATTATATTAGATAATTAAAAAAACGGATGCTCTTTGTTTTTTTTATTATGATTAATAATTTATGTGATTCAATAACAAAAATTAAATCACTAAAGAATAGAAAAGTAATAGCATTTTGACAAAATAGTGATGATAAGAATCAACTATTGAAAAGAAATTTTATGATAAAAAGAAAACTAAGAAAAATGAGTTTTGTATATAAACTGGTCACTTTCTGAAAACCATAGATTACTATGCCCTGGTACGGCCAAGGGTGGGGAGAGTCCGATCTCTCTCTCCAAATGCCTTCATGTGGTCACGCGTATATAGTCTCTGGCAGGGAAGTCCTACTCACTTCCTTCTCGTGGCACCGGTGTTGTTCACGAAATTGAGAGGATGAAAAGCGAATGTCCGGCGCTCTAACCGGGTTGATGGACACGGAAAGTCCACCTAGGGGAGTTGGAAAACCCTGATTCCAAACCAATGGTGCACATAGGCTCCAGTATCCTGAAGGAACAAATGGCGTACGAATCAATCGTTGGTCACCGGCTACCATGGGACTGCATCTCCTCACGATGCTCCACTGCCTTGTGGACTAGACCTATAGGTTGAAGGTTCCGGGTGTGGGCTCCTAAGAAAACCACCTGCTTCGGTTTGGGCACCTGGGTAGTATCATAGCCCCCACAGAAATCAAATGAGATTTTTGTGGCGCATATGTATCTGGTGTCCCTTTGTACCAATATTTATGTGTTTAAATAAAGAAAATAATGTTTGCGTTTTGTCAAAGTAATTAAAGGTTTCATCGACTGATAAACGTGATGTAGTTACTACACTCGTTGATAAGAAATTGTGTTCAGCTTTTTTTCAGTGCTAAAAATTAAATCCTATAAGTACGAAATTGTGACACAGCGTTTCGTGGGTTTTTTTTAAACAAGCGTCTATGAGATTGGTGTCTAAACTTAACAAAATAAAGTAGCTATATCAAATAAAAAACTGAAAGAAATTTACATCATGTCTTATAGATATTAACTAACATGAAATCTTGATCTGAAACTACATATCTATTGTGCTCAGTCGCTTAACACTTTTCTGTAGGCTAATACCATAGTTTTAAACTTAAAATGTTCCGAATTAGCTTTTTTCAGGACATTTTGCCTCAAAATGAAACTAAACTGAGAGAATAAGTGATTTCATTCAAAAATGAGAACAATCTCAAAAGTTATAAAACATGAATGTATACATTAAAATTAGTTGTTACTACAACAAATAAATTTAATAAGTATAAGTTGATAATAAAGTTTGATTCAAACAAACTTTTGGCCTCTAAACATTCTAATAATCTACCTGCTCCAAAGAGACAACGTTTTTTCAGTTATCACTACCTAGGTTTCCTTTCGTTCTTTGAATAACAACTTCGACTAAGACACATTTACTTCAACTCCTTCATTGACTTTAGGTAGGATGGTCGAACTATTTTTATCCATTTAATAAATGATTAGTACAGAAGAAATAACTCAAACTTGATGTTTTCCGTATTAATTTATTTAACAATGAACATAGCTCAATCATACGTCTACCAAAAGCAAATACCTTGAAAATATTATATTGTTCAAATAATTTCACCCTAAAGACTATGAAATGTGTAATAATCACTAATAGATACCATCGTCCCTAGGCATAAAAATCAAATTGAGCTTATTGTCACCAAAATATTCACTTTTTAACATTACATATTTTTAAAGAGATTTAATATGCTTTAATGAGCCAGAACACGATAAAATATTAAACATTTTTATCGATACGTACAAAAGTTGGTGAATAACACTATAAAATATCTCTCTTTGTCTTTTTCCCTTCTGTCAGTTACAAAAGCATATTTTTACGAAATATGGAAGATAGAATAGATGAAAAATGTGTAAATCCCTTAGGTGCTTTCACTTCAAAACTTTACCAATTTTTCAGAAAACAATAAAAAAATACGAGCCCACATATTTCCCTATTAAGTTATTTGTATTTCATTTCAGTTTTGCCACTCAAAGTAATTATTCATAAAAAGCCACTGTTTTATGTGAATACAGTCTTGTTTACTTAAAAATTGTAGCCTATAAAACTAATCTATTTTTATGTATACAATGAAAATATTGGAAGTATCAGTTTTGACAGACCACTTCTATGATAGACTCTAGTTAACGAAGTACATAGAGGTCAAAACGCATTGTATTTTGGAATGCAACTAAACATTCAACGAAATTACATGTTATGAAATATCTAGAAAACTATGTTCTACTACAGAGTAGAGAGTAAAACGTGAAAAATATTTTTCAAATTAAGACGCTCTAGCGAAAACATCTTATATGAATCTACGAATTAACTAAACTTTTCAAATTGTTTGTTTCTAGTATATGACGGTTTTAAGGTATCAATTTTCCGTAGCTATGTTAAACAAATTATTGTATTTTCAAAGTTAGAAAAACCAGAATACACAATATTCATTGAGGACATACAAATCAATTTCTATTTTTAAATTCACTTGTGATAGTTGTACTCAATTATTCCACATAATATCTTAAAATGCCAAAGTTCATCACATCCAAAGTTGTAAAGCCAAGATAAACATAAATACCAGTTTCATAATTCGTACCACTACCAGAATTCATCACAAGCAAAACATAGGTGCCTACTAGATAACATATTCTCTGGAAAAAAAATTTAACCGTGTGTCTTAATTATTCAGATTTTATAAAATAACTGGTAGGCTAAATACGATTTATCACCCTCCAGTGATCCTTGTTCAATATAAGACTGACCTACTTTACCAAGGAATTTAAAAAAACGTTTGCGAAGATACTTCACTTGGAACATTAGTATTATACCATATTTCGACAAACACCATTTATGATAAAGACAAAAATAACAGAAAGCATATTATTCGGATCTGGAAGCATGCTTAAAAGGTCAAATCTAAAATGTATGCAAACAAACGAAATATTAAGAAAGTTGTTTCAATACCTGATTTATTAAGTTCAAGTCACAAACAAAATGTTTCGTTCTAAAAGCGAAAAATGTATACACATGTGTTGCAAAGTAACACGAGATAATGAAGAGGTCATTACTGACCTACATAACCAGCTTTCCAGCCTATGGAATGTCGAAGAATCAATTATGCCATTCACAAACTACACAAGTATTTGACAAAAGTGATGTAAGTTATGAAAACTTGGTTGACTTAGCAATCTAAATCAGCAAAATCGGACAAAAAAGTCAATGAAAATTCACTGCAGATGTGTCAAGCCAACTGCTAAATTCTTTACTTTTCATTGCTTCATTGCAGTTACAAAAAGCCAAGCAACAAGTGATGAACGTGCTTACTCATCTATAATCGGGCAATCCGTTTCATACTTTGATCATATTTCAACGCTTTTATTATGAAAACTCCAACTAAAATGCATAGTACGTACACAAAATTGTTAAACAAATCTCTTAATTCCTTTAGACGAAGATAAATGCATATTTAATATTTATGACAACACAACAGTCATTTGGTTTATCAAGAAGTTACTTACCAAGATTCTATTGACAATTATTTAGACAAATTATCCGAACATCGCAACGATAATGACTCATGACAATTCATAAATTGCGGTGTTTAAAGCGAAAAGAATATGTGTAAATTGATTCATTAAAACAATAATAGTCGTTATTTACGTTTCCCAGTACTTTATAGCTTTTTGTGCGTCAAGATATGTACCAGCTATATATTACAAATATAGAAAGCTATCTCTGGCAATTATTTCCGATTTACCCATTAATTGTCCACACCTAACGTTACATAACAACGGTAAAGCCATTGGTTTCATGCCGATTAACCATATATATATATAGCTAACAAATAGTGCAAGTAACCATGAGTTTATAATCAATGCGCAACGTAAAAATTGATCTTATGAAATAAAATCGTCGTCGTAAGGTATCATTAAAAGTCTGGAAGATACATTTGAGGAAACGAAAGAGACATAATACATTGCATGAGTCAAAAATACTCTACTTTCGAAAGCATATCATCTCCAATGAGTCACTCTGCATATAATATTGATGTTAAACTGTGTCTGAAGAAACTCAATATTTATGGAGTAAAACTCAATAAACTATTCAGTAGTTCACAACTGTTGCTGAAATAGACTCAGCCCTTGCAATGACAGTCAGTTGACAATTTTTAAGCAGAAGGCAGAATGTTTGCTATTTCATAGCTAACGAACAAGGTATTAGTTCGCCAAGTCGGAGTTGCGTCGGACTCTACACAAAATGACGAAAGATAGCTATATTACTTTTTGCAATACATCATCTCATCTTACGCATAATCAACATAGCGACCTTGTTGATAAAAATCCAAGGTATCATACGAAGATCTGTGAGATTACCTGTTTTGTGATATCTTGTAACGCACTGAAGAATAATTGCTCATTCAAGTCAGCTTCTAAAGCTCTCAGTATCCAAGTTACTATTCGATACAAATAAGCTAGATTGTTCGGGTTGTGAAGGGCTTGAATAGGGTCCAGATCACCGGAAAAACTAACATAGAATCACCCTCTTCCAAATTTTACAATTACTCTGCAGAGAAACTTAAGGTTTTTCAGATATCTTTATCCTCTAAGAAATCTTGAACAAGATGATTGATCGAAATGCTGGAAAGTGTCTTTCTAAACATCAGTAAGCACGATATGCAAACGCAAAACACCGGTGATACACTCACGTCGTAGTACAGGAGTGATTAAAGTCACACACTGACGCTTGTGATGCTACAATTTAAGAACAAAGCCGAAAATTATCGTGAAACATTATTAATCACAAAAAACCTTCTATAACTACACAATTAAAACGAAGCTTATGATGAATCACAAGATAATAGCTAACTTATTCCCTAACTTGAGCCTGTTACACCTCATGGAAAAGCATATGCCGCACATCAGCATTCACTATTCTACTCTGTATCGGGAAATACCTTCCAGTTCTTTCCAGTTGTTATTCATCCTTTCAATGTTTTCTTTTAATTCTCGACACAGTGTGTTCTTCGGCTCTTGTCTTTTCTGTTTCCATTCAGGACTCCAAGTTGGCGCCCGTATCGTGGTATAATTTGACGATTTTCACAGTATATATACTATCCTCTTCCAACAACTTTTCCTAATTTCATCTTCGTATGGAATCCACTTTTTTCTCCCTCTCAGTAGGTTGGTGCTAGCAGCATACTGTCAATCGACATTCAGTATCTTGTGTAGACAAATGCTTATGAATAATTATACATTTTTAATGGTGGTTTTAGTAGTTCACTAAGTTTCAGCCCTTACAGTAGAACTGTCTTGACTCTCGTATTGAAAATTGTGACTCTGATATTGGGTGACAGCATTTGGAGTCCCATGTGTTCTTGAGTTGTAGGAGTGTTGTCCTTGCTTTGTCAACCTCTGTCTTTAAGTCCGCTTCATATCTTCCAAGTTCATCGACAATGCTGCCGAGGCACGTGAAAGTCTCTACCTCCTTCAGAGTTTCTCAAGAAAAAATAATGACTATCAATATAAAAAATTTGTTAATTAAAATAGTCATTGTTTGCAAATGACTACAAATAGTCTATAGTGATATTAATTCTAGACAACATGACCATTAAAGCCGAACATACAGACACCTAAAAATTTTGATGTTTTGTTCTCGTAGCTGGATGCTTTGGTCTTAGAGCTCTATACATTATTCCATTCCTAGATAAAATGTATTATTTGAAAGTCCTCAGCCACCTTCACTTATTTTCAGTATAGGACGAGTCAGTATAGATAATGATATGATCTCCACGTAAGGTCTGATAGATCAGGTAACTATATCGTGGCAAATATGCAGTTGTGGAATTGGTCTATTATTTTAACAACATAGATAAGTGTACTACTACCAACTTAGATAATGATACTACAGCTGCAATCACTAGCTTGATATGTTCGTTGTTACGTAGTGCCAAACGGTACGAGAGAATGAACATGTTCCAGAATGTTTTTGATATGAGAAGGACCAGAAATCTTACGAAGAGACGAGTGGTTCGAGACTCACGCGCTACTTATAATTTAAAGTCGATCCTATGACTGTATAACCATTAGAGGAAGAAGACGAAAGCACAACATAATTCCCACTAAAGATAAATTAATAGAAACTAACTTATCACTGTGACAAATAATATATTTTTCCCAAGACATAAAGTCCTGTAAGTCTTCGATATTGATGTTGACCTTATAAGTTTTATTGAACACATTTTGCCTGGAGGAAGTCAGCCAGCCATCATCATCACGTCACACCAGGACAGCTTGGATCACATACTTCTCGACGTAGCCACCAAAAATACATCTCCGAACTCTTTCATTACTGACTTCTGGTTTGATCGGTTTTAACCCTTCGATTATAAAGGTGTAACGGATAATAGCATTGTCAATCACCGAATATCTGAAACGTCTTTATGTCTAATCTAAACCACTCCATTCATTAATTTGTCTTTCGACATCTAGGTTTGAGAACAATAATATGCGAATTAAACCTTGACGTAATCAAAAATCCTCCTTCACCATCAAAATAAAAATTGTCTTGTAAAAATGAATTATTGTTTCGGCTTAGCGCTACTTTTATACATTTCGTTACTGCCAGCTTCATGTATTGGTTGGCCAGGTTAGTTAAGAGTAGTAACTTTTCGGGAGAACTCTGTTGCATCTTTACTGCCGTATTATATTAATAATATTTTGGCAGTAGGCAAGCAAAGTTTTCTTATGCACATAATGCTGACTGAAATTGTAAAAAAGCTTTGCTAACATCGTACGATGCACGCGTGCATCTTATTTTACGAATAACATGGAGCCTTGCAGTATTTGGTCCCAACATTTCCAACCATGTATTTATCGGCACTAGTCTCATAGTTTTAGCGTGTCTTTTTTTGCATAACATACTGAGTGTCACGAAAATTTGTAAATAAATTTGTATAATATTTATAAACTTTTATGATTTGTCTCACTTAACACAGCAAATTCGTTCCCATCTCCTATTCTTCTTATTAATTAATAGTTGAAATTATTAAATTCTAGGGTATCTGCGTGCTTGTGGAATGTATTGGGTTTTTTAACTATCCTAGAATGTGGTTTGCTAATTGGTAAACAGTCGTCCTGCTTCAGTAATTAATCATTTGTTTGTAGTAGTTGGTTCATTGTCCTTAATTGTGCGATTGAGTGCTCATCAAAAGAAACTGAACATAACTGATCAGATTAATTGTCTAGCGATTAATTAACTAACTTGTTATAGTTTCAGTTTGGAAAAAACAGGAGGCTTGATAGCCTGTGTTACTCCTGGCAATGATGTCCTCTAAGCTGATCCAATTTTCTTTTGAAAGAGTCGACGGATGGAGACTCAACCACGTGCTGAGGTAATGAATTCCACTCGTTGGTGATTTGATGGGAAAGTCGGTAGTTAGCTGACCGTTGCTGCTACCTTGACGTGGTGGTCGGGCTTGCCTATCGGGATGATTCAATCGAGCTATACCGGCTGAAACAATCGTTTCCCAAGGTCCTACCATGCCAGGCAGGTCTGTTGTGCACACCTCTCCTTATCCCACGGATATCCATCTCCAGCGGTAAGGTCCTTTGAAGAACGGAGCTAACACAAAAACTACCCACAAAAAGGCCGTGTGTGATCGGCCTCAAGCAGTTGTCGCTTGGGCACTGCGGTCACGCTCTCAGGTCATTAAGATCACTTCTAACCCAATTTCCTTTTCAGGTACCCCTAGAAAAACCCTTCCACGGTGTGGCAACCGGGAAGTGATAACTGCCCTCATACCTATAACAGCACTCAAGACCACTGTATTCATAATCAATCTCCTTCTTCAATTCCTACTATTCTTTCTACCTTGACTTTCAACATCAAACTTCCTCTTTCGGTTTCCTCCTCAAGTGTCACCATGGCCAACGATTCTAGTGCGCGAAACGCTGTTCCAGGTCTACTAAAACCTCGCTCCAAACTACACATTGAAGCCTTCAACGTACGTACTTTAAGTCAAATCGGTCAACAGGCCTCCTTAGCTAAAACCCTAGAATCTCGTACCATTGATGTATGCTGTGTCTCCGAAACACGCATTCAGGATCCTAGTGTGGTCATTCACTTGACCTCACCTCGTCAAAATGGACAGCCAACGAAATACACCCTCCGTGTATCTGGCGACCCGTTGGCTAGTTCTCGTGGACTTGCAGGTGTAGGCATCGGATTAAGTACAAGGGCAGAACGGGCACTACTAGAATGGATCTCCGTTAACAGTCGCCTGTGTGCTATCCGGCTGAATGGCTCCGTAAGAACTCGGAAGGATAGGGATACACGTCGTTGCCTTTTCGTCGTTTCTGCCTATGCTCCCACTGACTGCAGCCATGATGAAGTGAAAGGTAACTTTTACAGAAAGCTCTCTGAGCTTTTTCAGAAAGCTAAGTGCTCAGACATAGTAGTCGTAGCGGGTGACTTTAATGCCCAGGTAGGCAGCTTAAATAAAAAAGAAAGACATTTGGGTGGGTGTTTTAGTATTACGGCTCAACGAACCGATAAGTTCACATCTAGGCAGTTTTGTAAACGAGACTGACCCAGATGCTGCTTGGAAAGACATACGAACAGCTGTGGAAACAGCAGTAACATCTATTAGTTATTTAAATCAGCATGCAGCTTAAATCAAAAAGAAAGACATTTAGGTGGGTGTTTTAGTATTCCGGCTCAACGAACCGATAATGGTGATCGTCTGTTGCAACTATGCTCAGACAATCGTTTATTTTTAGCAAGCACTAATTTTAAGCATAAGGAGAGACATCGTCTAACATGGCGACCACCTTCACCAAACCAACGATCGACTCAAATAGACCATATTGTCATCAGTCATCGTTGGAGAGGCTCAATAGAAGATTGTCGCTCGTATTGGAATACTTGTTCAGACTCTAATCACGCTTTAATACGAGTGCGCATTTGTCTGCACCTCAATGGACGTAGGAAAAGTACACTAAGAAGACCCATTAGGATTGAACTGGAGGACGAGAAAGCCAAATGCGAATTCCAGAAACAACTGGGTTCACATCTAGGCAGTTCTGTAAACGAGACTGACCCAGATGCTGCTTGGAAAGACATACGAACAGCTGTGGAAACAGCAGTAACCAAAGGGTTCCAAAAACCAATGGATTTCTTCTAAGTCTATTTCACTGATGGATTCGCGTAAACTCATCCCATCAGGCTATGAACACAACGAAAAGCGTAAACAAATTGGATCTAGGTTAACTAAAAGTCTAAGGAACGATCGTGAGCAGTGGTGGGCAAGGAAATCAAAAGAAATGGAAAAGACAGCGGCTGTAGGCAACATCAGGCAACTCTTCAGACTAATAAAAGAAACCGGAATTAAGAAGTCAAGTGTAAGTGATACGATCTCGGAAAAAGACGGATCCCCTATCTGCTCTCAAACCAAACGTTTAGAACGATGGGCGGAACACTTTAAGGAGCAGTTTAGCTGGCCTTCAGCTACTGCACAACAACGACTATTCCCAGAAAACCTGAATGAAACATTGAAGTAGGCCCCTCGACCCTACTTGAAGTTCAGAAGGCTATAAGTGATTTGAAACGAGGAAGATCAGCTGGTCCAGATGGATTGGCTCCAGAGGTCTTTAAATATGGTGGTCCGATTTTAGCGATTAGGTTGACTAATATTCTGGCTAAAATCTGGGAGACGGACGTAATCCCACCTGACTGGTCACAATCTCTGATTGTCCCAATATATAAGAAGAGGCCAAAATCATCCTGTGATAACCATAGAGGGATTAGTCTGACTAACATAGTATCTAAAATACTAGCCTCAATAGTTATCGTGCGCCTAACTAAGACTTGAGAACTGCAAACACGGAAAAATCAGACTGGCTTCAGACCTAGTCGTGGCCGTATCGACCATATATTCTGGTGGATACAGACTACTTGGTTGGGGTCCGCGTGACTACCGTAACCAATGGTTGGAGACTGTGTGACATGGCTCAGAATCGATCACAATGGCGCAGGTGTGTACACTTTATATCTTCCCTTAAGCCTTGAGATTAAAATTGCTTCACAACTTTTTTCGTTCCTATACTATATCCTTATATACAATCTTTCTTTATATACTACCACCACTAAATTAATTACTCTATGAATCCGGTGTTCATCTTGTTGTGCTAACGAGGTATGGCAACTTGGACCGATGCATATATGTGCCTGGTCCTACGTTGTCGCTGACTGATTATTTTATTTAAACACATAAATATTGGTACAAGGAAGCACCAGATATATATGCGCCTCACAAATCTCATTTGATTTGTGTGAGGGCTGTGATACTGCCCAGGTGCCCAGACTGAAGCAGGTGGTTTTCTTAGGGGGCCACACCCGGAGCCTTTGACCTGAATGTCTGATCCACAAGGCAGTGGAGCATCGTGAGGAGATGCAGTCCCATGGTAGCCGGTGGCCAACATTTGATTCATACGCCATTTGTTACTTCAGGATACTGGAGGCCATGTGCACCATCGGTTTGGAATCAGTGTTTTCCAACTCTCCTAGGTGGACTCACCATGTCCACCGACCCGGTTAAAGCGCCGGACATTCGCTTTTCATCCTCTCAATTTCGTAAACAACTCCGGTGCCACGAGAAGGCAGTGAGTAGGATTTCCCTGGCAGAAGCTATAAATTCGCGTAGCCATGTGAGAGCATTTGGAGAGGGAGAGCGGACTATCCCCACTCTCGGCCGTACCAGGGCATTTGGGTTTTTTATTATTTCTTTTATCAACCATTGATCATACCAAATGAATTTGTTTGTTTTCTTGTTGCATTGTTTTAGGTTCATTTTGATGCTCTAGGAAATAATTGCAACAACAATTTACATCTTTACTATGTCTAATGGGTAATACTATTGCTCCGAGGATTGAAAACGCCGAGAAAACTGGTGTGTTACAAGTCAGTAGCTTAAAATTAAAAAAGGTATGGGACAAAAACTATCATTTTTTTGCTAATTAACTTAAAAGGTTCCTGAACAAGTAAAACACCTTCGTAATCTTCGGAGTTTAGATCTCTCAAATAATAAAATTGAAAACATCGACCCATGGATTTCTGTGTTAAAAAATCTTAAGGTTCTAAACGTTGAAAACAACAAATTGAGTAAGTTTCTGTCCAGTATTTCATTACGTTGTATCATAAAGTTGTTTAACAAATGGTTTGGATATTATTAAGTTCCATCATACTGTTGCTTTCAATAGCCTCAAAAATCCTACATTTACACCCGTTTAAAAAAAATTCGAGTTGTGTTAAATATCGCGCAGTTTATTGCACTGGCAAGCAATATTGTTAAACTTTTGCGTTCTAAAGAATACATTTACTTACTTATTTGAACGCAAAAATATTGGTAAAAAAGGGGCACCGAATACATATGCGCCACACAAGTCACTTGATTTGTTTGTAGGCTGTGATACTGCCCAGGTGCTCAGACAAAAACAGGTGGTTTTCTTAGCGGGCCACACCCGGAGCCTTTGACCTGAAGGTCTAGTCCACAAGGCAGTGGAGCATCGTGAGGAGATGCAGTCCCATGGTATCCGGTGATCAACAATTGATTCATACGCCATTTGTTCCTTCACGATACTGGAGGCCATGCGCACCATCGGTTTTGAATCAGGGTTTTCCGACTCCCCTAGGTGAACTTTCCGTGTCTATCGACCCGGCTTAAGTGCCGGACATTCGCTTTTCGTCCTCTCAACTTCGTAAACAACACCGGTGCCGTGAGAAGGCAGTGAGTAGGACTTCCCTGGCAGTGGTTGTATGTCCGTGGCCATGTGAGAGCATTTTGAGAGTGAGAGTGGGTTCTCCTCATTCTCGGCCGTACCAGAGCATTCGGGGGGCGAAAAATACATTTAAATCAGCATAATTTTTATGTAGACACTTCAGTTTACTAACTGGTAGTTATGTCAGTGTTCTTTCTACTTTTCGGTAATAATACTCTGGTCTCTCCTCTCTCTGCCTATACACACATTCTTAACATAGGTCTTATCATAGCACTTCGTTTTATTTCCACTAGACTAGTTTCCTTTCACTACAAGGTTATTCCCTACGGATTTTATTCACACCATATATTATTTATTAATTATTAATTCGGCGAGTCCACCTAGGGGAGTTGGAAAACACTGATTCCAAACCAATGGTGCACATGAGCTCCAGTATCCTGAAGTAACAAATGGCGTACGAATCAATCATTAATCACCGGCTACCATGGGACTGCATCTCCTCACGATGCTCCACTGCCTTGTGGATCAGATCTATCGGTCAAAGGCTCCGGGTGTGGGCCCCTAAGAAAACCACCAGCTTCAGTTCGGGCACCTGGGCAGTATCATAGCCCTCAAGCAAATCGAATGAGATTTGTATGGCGCATATGTATCTGGTGCTTCCTTGTACCAATATTTATGTGTTTAAATAAAAAAATATATTAATTAATATATTAATTAAATAGATATTTGGGCTTGTCAAAATGTCCTTTTACTTACAACAAATGTGCATCATTCATACCTCACTTCACCACAGAGTCAGGAAGTTAAAGAAAACTTGTCAGTCAAATAGATATTAAATTTACTGGGATAGAATACAAAAACATGGGGAATACATCTCGAAAGAAATAAATGGGATCTCTAAGTGAGCAGTATAAAATAACACAAAATTTAAGGTTTTTAGAGAAAGACAAAGAATGATGTCGTTAGCAAAAAAGGAAAACTTCACGATCAAACTGTCTAACTCAGGAAATAAAGCTTCCAAAATTCTCATCCTGAAGCGCAAATGCTCCCCATCTCAAAATTGTGAGTGCTACACTTACATATCATTAAGTGCATATAATTATTACTGTAATCAGACTAATTGTTGATTGCATTAATTGTCAAAGTGTATCTTGTTATATTCTAGATTAGTATCTACTTCAGTGAGCAAAACACCTCGTATTGATTAGGTTTTACAGTTTTTCCTAGTTTTCACTTTATTTTACACCCTATGCCCTCCAACTTTCTCCCAACTAGAATTATTGGGTGCGGTAGTTCTGATTTTCCTGTGTATAAAATATGCAAAAACGTGTGAGGTAATTCACTAAAAAGATCTTACCTTCTGAAATGATGTAAAATTGCTTTACGTACATTTATAGTTTTGCCAGTCAGTTAGCATTGATGAAGCGTGAGCATAATGATAACATCATAAGGAAAGAATTAATAATCAGGTTAGCAATCTAGTCGTGTACAAGGTATTCTCGACTGTTGCTAGAAGTATGTGGGTGGTTATGACTTCCCAGTTGCACATTGGAAAAATACTTCACATTGAGATACCTGAAAGGGAAACTAAATTAGTAATGTTCAGTGTAACCTAAGAGTGTGACTGCAAAGCCCAAAGAAAAACCACTCGAGTCCGGTAGCACATATCCTTTTTGCTACTAGTTCTTGATGGGCTTCCCCCGTATTTTAAAGGCATTACTACCAGCAACGAAAACCCACAGGTTAGTATGTGGTGTTCTATTTCTAGGCTCAGCGTTATCTGGCCCCTTCTTTCCTTTGTAAAAAGGGGATATTACTGCAGTTGCTGGCTGTCCAAAGGAAGCAACTTAAAACCCTCACACTTCAGCACAGTTAGCAGTACGACCTTGTTTTTGGAACTCCGTCGGCTAGTTTATTTTCTATTTAAATCAAACTTTTATGTGTTTATACCAACTACTATGTGTTTACACCACCCAGATCTGGCTACTGAACATTTCCGGTGGATTATAATGATTTCCAATGATTTTATGCATTTATTCCCCCTCGAACTTTGAAATCCTACATTACTTCATTCACCTAATATTTTCGTACTGTTATAGAGATTGTTATTGTTCCGATCTCTTCACCAATCATTTTGTTAGTTTCATCGTTTGCTTTAGGAAATTAGTATGGCTACCTGAATTGGTTCACACATGCTCTAAGTTCTACGTTGCCTTATAACTGAGTAATAATAATGTAATAACGTTGATACTAACTTAATCACGTAATACATTCATATTCACTAACTCAACCATTCGGTAGAGAACTAGATATAGACTAGAACAAGAGTTCATTAGTACAAAACAAAAAGGTCGAAAGCATATGTTACAATTGTTATACCCCGATAAGGATAATGAATGGTAACTTTGGGATCTAATTATGAACCAATAATATGCATATTTTTTTATCGTATAATTGCTAAATAACTAAACTATTCATATTTATGACCCTCTTATTATAAACTTTATTTGGACCTATAGAATATCATTATACGATTTTTCATTCTTGAGTTATCCCTAGTCTATTAATTACTGTCTTCCACATTCACAGCCATATTTGTTTGAATCTTGTATTTTGTTGGTACGATGTGGTCTGTCTGTTTGGTATATAAACTCAGTATGTTTGAAATATAATGACTCATACCGCAGAGACTGTTCTGAACTCAAATGGCTGGGCTAGGTCGAAAGTAGGACCGACAAGTACTCTAGACTGCTCATACGGTTTTCGTGTGTCACTGTTTCAATCGATAATTCGCTGCTCTCTGATTGGCGGTCTTATCACGTCATACGTTAACAGGGCATCCACTCAGGTACAGGTTATGACAACAAATATTATTATTACTATTTAAACACATAAATACTGGTACAAAAAGCACCAGATATATGTGCGCCGCACAAATCTCATTCGATTTACGTGAGGGCTGTAATACTGCCTAGGTGCCCAAACCGAAGCAGGTGGTTTTCTTAGGGGGCCACACCCCGAGCTTTTGACCTAAAGGTCTGATCCACAAGGCAGTGGAGCATCGTGAGGAGATGCAGTCGCATGATAGCCGGTGACCAACGATTGATTCATACGCCATTTGTTCCATCACGATACTGGAGGCCATGCGCACCATCGGTTTGGAATCAGTGTTTTCCAACTCTCCTAGGTGAACTCACCATGTCCACCGACCCGGTTAAAGCGCCGGACATTCGCTTTTCATCCTCTCAACTTCGTAAACAACACCGGTGCCATGAGAAGGCAGTGAGTAGGACTTCCCTGGCAGAAGCTATAAATTCGCGTAGCCATGTGAGAGCATTTGGAGAGGGAGAGCGGACTATCCCCACTCTCGGCCGTACCAGGACATTTGGAGGCTATAACAACAATATAAATAGCTAACTATTGGTTTCTATCATTCTTCGTAGGTTGTTTAAAACCCGAGAACGATTGACTCGCGAGGAGCAGGCTGGTTTTCGTTCTGGTCGAGGATGCATTGATCACATCTTCACCCTCCGCCAAATGTTAGAACACCGTCATACTTATCGCAGGCCAACAATCGTAGTGTTTCTTGATATCAGGGCGGCCTTCGATTCGTTGGACAGGACTGTTCTCTGGGATTGTCTATTGAAGAAGGGTGTGCCTGAGAAGTTCATTAACATCTTAAAGGCCCTGTACACGAACACCTCAGGCAGAGTGAGGGCATACAACCACCTTTCTCCCTTGTTCCATTCGGGCAGTGGGGTTAGGCAGGGTTGCCCGATTTCACCATTCCTCTTCAACTTTGCCATCGACGACATCCTAGAAACAGCTCTGGTGGATGTAAGTAGTGGCGGTGTGGATATGTTGCCTGGAGAACGACTTCTCGACCTTGAGTATGCGGATGATATTGTCTTACTGTGCGATAATGCCCAAGGCATGCAATCAGCACTTAATCAGTTGGCAATCAGTGTCCGCAGGTACGGCATGTGCTTTGCACCCTCCAAGTGCAAAGTACTCCTACAAGACTGGCCGGATTCTCATCCTGTACTCACCCTGGATGGTAAGCAGATTGTAGTAGTTGAGAAGTTCGTGTATCTAGGTAGCTATATAAGTGCTGGTGGTGGCGTGAGTGATGAGATTGATGCACGTATAAGGAAAGCCAGATCGGCTTATGCCAATCTGGGCCATCTTTGGCGCCTTCGTGATGTTAGTCTGGCTGTAAAAAGTCGGATTTACAACGCGTCGGTGAGAGCAGTTTTGCTCTATGCTTGTGAAACCTGGCCTCTCCGAGTTGAGGATGTTAGACGTCTCTCTGTGTTCGATCATCGTTGTCTCCGAAGGATTGCTGACATACAGTGGCAACACCATGTTAGTAATGCAGAGGTTCGGCATCGTGTGTTCGGGCACAGAGACGATAATTCAATTGGTGTCACCATCTTGAAACAACGACTTCGGTGGCTTGGACATGTTTTACGAATGTCGTCCCAGAGACTTCCACGTCGTGCATTATTTGCCGACCCTGGGACTGGTTGGAAAAAGCGGAGAGGAGGTCAGTGTATGACATGGTGTCGTGGCATGAAAGAGAGCTGCAAAGGGCTAGCTTTTGTTGGTCCTTCACGACTCCTTGGTTGGGGTCCGAGAGATGGTGCAACACAGTGGCTAGAGACGTTATCAGATATGGCTCAGAATAGAAACCAGTGGCGATCCTGCTGCAACCTTCTTTTACTTTCTACATAAAGTATGGTTCTTACTTTCCTATTTGAAAGAGTCTTCTGGTTGTACATTATAGTCCGCCTTATCTTTTCATCCCTTCTCTTCCTACTTTCATTATTTTGTGTGGCGCATATGTACCTGGTGCCCTTTTGTACCAATATATATGTGTTTAAATAATAATTATAATAAATAATAAGTTTTGTAAATTATCAAATATATCTATGCGCTATCTTTGATCATTCACAGACCACCTTTATTGAACACATGAATCAATTCTAATCAAATGTATTATGTTTTCCCTTATTTACAGAATGTTTTCCAGCAGAATTATATCTATTAACAAAATTAGAATCCATAAATGGAAATAGTAATTTCTTAATGAATTTTATTACACCTGGAGCAATTGTCAATTTAAATGAATTATCATGTTTACGTACTGTAAATTTAAGTAATAATTATTTAACTGAATTTCCTGTGGAATTATGCTTAAAAGCAATACCTATCAATATGATTGATTTGTCAAATAATCAAATAAGTATTATACCAAATGCTATTGCTTCATTACAGGTAAGAGTATCCGTTGATCATAGGATCTAGTCTTAATACGTTTTGGATGTGTATAAATGCTTATTCGTCATTTTTAATGTATATATGTTAAGCTGTGAATCACATGTGGAGAAATTCAAACACTTCACTTCTACCCGAAGTTTGTGTTGATGATGTCGTTCAGAAGGACGATGAAAGCTCCACGACTAAACCATCCAGCTCAGAGAACAAACCTACATGTTAAGTTTTTATTGTGTTAGATGTTCCTCTCGTTCTGTAAGTGTAAAATGTAGTAAATTAAACTAAAAGTCAAATTTTGTGCTGCATAAAAGTTGTGTTAAATGTTATCCCCCCTCAGGAATCACAAAAAGTAAACAGTAATAACAATAACTATTCAGTGAAACGATTAGCTAGTAAACCCGAACCAGAAAGTTCCCTACCCTCCGACTTGACTTAATTCAACGGTTACTGACTTTTAAGACTGATGCCATATGTTTATTTGACTTGTCCATAGCTTCCTTCCAATCTACTTTTGTGCTGACCACTATTGTATATTGACTCAAGTGGTGACTAGATATGAATAATATGTCCTCTAACTGCCGTTGTTTGGTGAGTACTCACAGCTTCATAAAGTTATTTACTCTCTACCTAATTTATTTATTTATTTAAACACGTAAATATTGGTACATAGGGGGTACCAGATACATATGTGCTACACAAATCTCATTTGGTTTGTGCGAAAGTTGTGATACTGCCCGGGTTCCTAAACAGAAACAGGTGGTTTTCTTAGGGAGCCACACCAGGAGCCTTCGACCTATAGGTCTGATCCACAAGACAGTGGAGCATCGTGAGGAGATGCAGTCCCATAGTAGCCGGTTTTCCAACTCCTCTAGATGGACACGGTGAGTTCACCAACCCAGTTAAAGCTCTGAACATTCGCTTTTCGTCCTCTAAATTTCGTAAACAACTACGTAATAACTTAAACCTGCCCTTATCATCGTTTATCTTGTTGTTTCACTATATACGGACAATGTTTCTAAAACCAGATATCATGAAATACTAGAAATCTACGCGTTTCACCACCCTTGCAAGATTGTTTTACACCCAAAACCAATAGAGAGTAAACTATCAAGCACTATGTTTACTTTATAATAGGTAAATGAAAACTAAATACTAATATTAGGTGAATCATGAAACAGACCGAAATGATGTAAAACAGAACAGTTTTAAATATTGATAGCGTGAGATGTTTTTTTTGTGCGTTTTGTGTAAATGTACGTGCATGTGAATGGAGGGATTTTCATAATACGTAGAATTCATGTGTATTTCATTACTCTCTCTTCAGCTATATACAAATTGTCAATCGTAAATTATTTGAAAAATAAATGTTAAAATCCTTACAAGTTGATACTTACTGACCGACTGGAAACAGTATAATGTCTAATGAAATGACAGATTTTATTACAAGCTGAATTAGGTGCTAAACTCGTTAAAAGTTGATTATTTGATCACTTCATTTAATCAAGCATGTCCTAGTCACATTAACAAATATATGCTAACCACACCTTTGTCACAACTGCTGGATGTTTCACTGTCACTTGTCATGTATAATAACTATTATTATTATTATTGTTCACTTGTTACCAGTTAAAGACTCATGTATTTATCTCCGAACTCCACTTTAAACGTTACAACTAGTAGTACGACCGGTTAAGTAAAACGAAGTCGGTGGGCGCGGAGTTCGGACATTTTACTTAATGGTTTCAAGTTGAACACCTTAATCATTAGGCCACCACTCCACTACATATAATGATCAGGCTGTAGTAGTGCATTATCTCAATCTATTTTAATCGTTTAAATTCACCCAGTATTGTTTGTTTGAATCTTCCCATTTATGTTTTTTTAGGACTGCAACTATTCAGTCTCTAATTGACATATGTGCATACTACTGTGCGTATTGCCTCGATATAGCCTAAATTCACAAGCATGGTAAGCAAAGATGGATAGTGGCTAGCAGTGGAATCCAGCAAGCGCGTTTCGTCCTACCTGGGACTCATCAGCAGGACGTACCTACATCTCAGAGTTGATGTTCACTCTGGAACTCGAACCCAGTACCTTTCGCCTCAAACGCCATCACGTTATCCACTCGGCCACGCGCGTCCTGTATTCAACTGCTAGCCACTATCCATCTTTGCTTATTTTAATCGTTGTTAATTTAATCTCATATTTCTTTCCTCTTTATCTCTTAACAACAACGAAACATTTTTTACTTATTCAGGCCATTGAAATTAATTTGAATTCAAATAAAATATCAATTATATCTAATAGTATAGCACAATGTGAACGTTTGAAAGTTTTACGCTTAGAGAATAATTGTTTACGATTAGAAAATTTCCCAATTGAATTATTAACAAATTCACAAGTTTCATTAATATGTGTCGATGGGAATTCATTCAATATGAAAGATTTTTACAATTTACCTGGTTACTCAAAAGTTAGTTATTCTCGTTATTATTATTGTCTTCTTTTAATTATAGTTTTCATGCACATATTCGCTTTCCCCCCTTATATCGCATCATTTCAATATGTTATTGATTTAATAATAAACATATTTAGGCAAGTGGCTATCAGGACTCAGTGGCCGAGTGGATAACGCGATGGCGTTTGAAGCGAGGGTACTGAGTTTGAGTCCCAGAGTGAACATCAACTCTGAGATGCAGGTACATCCAGCTGACGAGTCCCAAATAGGACGTAACGCGCTTGCTGGATTCCACTGCTAGCCACTATCCATCTCTGCCTACCATATTTAGGTTTGGTTACTTCTACTGTAGTCATAAATATTTCTTTTGAAAAAAAGTGTTGATTATAACTAAAGAGACTCATGGTGTCATTGAAGAGGGGGCACCAGATATATATGTGCGCAGCATTTGATTTGTGTGAGGGATGTGATACTACCTAGGTGCTCAAACCGAAGTAGGTGGTTTTCTTAGGGAGGCACACCCGGAGCCTTTAATCTAAAGGCCTAATCCACAAGGTAGTGGAGCATTGTTAGGAGATAACAATTGGCGACGGGGATTCTGGAAAAAAATACAGCAACCCAATACTGTTCGTACTATTTCAAGTATCATTTGCATTCGATCAGTAAAATCCACTCCTCTCTAATTGCACGTTCATATATATTACGAGTCCATACGATATAACAACTGGCGACGGGGTAAAAAAATGGCTTTAACTTCCGATCAATTTCAGTTGCTAATTCAGAGACAAGAGCAGCGTTTTAAAAAGAGTCAGTTGGATTTCATTGACAAGTTACACGCGACGCTGCTGAATCACCCATGCTTTGGGGGTGCAACGGAAGTTGACGCATTGATTTCTAAATTGCGTACGGAACTGGAAGTCGATTACAGAACAAATGAATATGCAGAGGAAAGCCTCTATGAATCCGCGAAAAACAGTAATTTAGATGCAGCAGTAACAGTCCTACATGATCAGCCCAGTAGTCCGGTGCTGCCTGTTTCAGAAACGTGCCCGGTAGTGGATTCAAACACCACTATCCCTGAATTAGCAGGTCCGAACAGTGATGCTCCCAGCTCTCAGCAACATGATGCCATGTCAAATGCTCATGAAATTGCTGCAGTACCCGCCCACGAAGAAATGGGAAGCAAATCGAGCAGTATATTGAATGCAGAGGCGCCAAATGAAATTATTCATGATACGGAAAATTTTTCTAATGAATCTAATGATCAAAATTATCTAATTGTTCTGCCAGATCCCGATTATTTTACTGATTCATATGTTCCAGTTCAAATCTCTTATAAAAATGGGAGAAAAATATCGGATGCATTAAATGATAATCAAGAATCCAATACAAATTTCATAGATACTGATTATCCTAATGATTCATTATCTACTAATGAGGTTCCGAGTAAATTCAAGGAAAGTGTTTCAAAAGAATCAGACGCCGGTGACCTCAAATCGAATGTCGTCGATCCTCACGATATAATCAGTTCTGGTGGATTTTCTGTTAAATACGACGAATATGTTTTAAATAATGTCACAATAATGGTAACTTGGGTACATGAGGATCCAACAGTCTTTCGTGGGGGAGGATGAATTCGAGAAATTAAAAATCCGGATGTCAACTCCGGATTTCTCAAAAAGGGGAGGTGTTATATCCCCTGGTGAATTATGAATCGTAAATCTGAGGTCTATTATCGACCAATGTATTATGCCTATTTCTTATTGTACAGTTGTTACGTAACTAAATTATTCATATTCGTTTTCTCTTATCATTAGCTTTATTTTGATCTTTGATTTATGATCATACGATTCTTGAGTTATAATCAGTTATTGATTACTTTGGTTTGTATAAAAACCCAGTGTGTTTGTAAATAATGATTCATATTTCCGAGGCTGTTATTTGTGTTCTGGACTCAACTGGCTGGGCTAGGCAGTTAGGAAGGACCGAATAGCAATCAAGACTGCTCGTACGTATTTTCTGTATCATTGCACGTTTCATATACAATAACAATTGTTATACAAGTCATAACACACTGCTAGCCACTATCCATCTCTGCCTACCATATTTAGGTTTGGTTACTTCTACTGTAGTCATAAATATTTCTTTTGAAAAAAAGTGTTGATTATAACTAAAGAGACTCATGGTGTCATTGAAGAGGGGGCACCAGATATATATGTGCGCAGCATTTGATTTGTGTGAGGGATGTGATACTACCTAGGTGCTCAAACCGAAGTAGGTGGTTTTCTTAGGGAGGCACACCCGGAGCCTTTAATCTAAAGGCCTAATCCACAAGGTAGTGGAGCATTGTTAGGAGATACAGTCCCATAGTAGCCGGTGACCAACAATTGGTTCATACGCCATTTGTTCCCTCAGGATACTGGAACCCATGTACACCGTTGGTTTGGAATCAGAGTTTTCCGACTCCCCTTGGTGGACTCGCCGTGTCCACCAACCCGGTTAAAGCGCCGGATAATCGCTTTTTGTTTTCTCAATTTCGTAAACAACAGTAATGCCACGAGAAGGCAGTGAGTAAAACTTTCCTGGCAAAGGCTATATGCGCGTGGCCATGTGAGCGTATTTCGTTAAGGAGAGCGGACTCTCCCCACTCTCGGCCGTACTTTCAGTGAAGTCAATGAATCTTTAATCTTATTCCAAATCGTGTCGGTCGGCCATCGCATATGTGTGCATCCCGTTCCTAGTACGGTGATTGCATAATCTGTCTTAGTAACTAATAAAACATTTATCAAATATATAAGTTTATTTACATAATTATTATCAGTGGTTTTTGAATGTACGAAAACTTGTGAATCGGGAAACCGAAAATATAGCCTGTAAAATCTTATCACTTAAAACATTTTAAGCAGAGGTAGATAGTAACTAACAGCGTATTCGAGGATGTTTTTTTTTCTTATTTTGGGCTCGTCAGCTAAATGTACCTGTATCCCAGATTTAATGTTCACTCCGGGACTTGAATCCAGTGTTATTCGCTTCAGATACTATCGCATTATCCACTTAGCTACTGAGTCCAGTTAGCCACCGGCTTGTGCAATAGGGTAGGTTTTAACTCATATGTACTGGTCGTTTGATTCTCCATTATCGTTTAAGACTTCAACTGATGGGATCCCGGAATAAACACCAAATTTGGGATGCAGGTAAACTCAACTGATGATTCCTAAGTAAGACTAAGCGCGCTTTCTGGATACTGCTTCTAGCCTCTGTCCATCTCTGCTTATTACAGTATTTTTGTCATTCGTTGTATCACACTATTATAACTAATTAACTAACTTATTTATTTAGTCATTTTACGTTATCTCACTTTTGTAGTATATGGAACGTTTTACAGCAATGAAGAAAAAAGCCGCTTAAAAAACATACGAAAACAAAGACAATTCTTACTGATGAAAGTCAAACACAACTAATACCCTTATCAAACTCTCTCTGATTGACTGTTTTTGCTAACTTTTCACATATTTATATATGAATGTGTGTGTGTGTGTGCGTATTCGGTGATTATTATTTCATAATCAATAACTATTGAGCAATAACCAACTTCTTATCACCTAAACATCCACACACCCGTCCACTTGTCTACTTTTGATTTTTTTTTTCGTTTCTTTCTGTAACTTACTTTTTTTCAGAAAAGAAATATTCACATACAGGTTTTTTATTTAGTTTAAAACAGTATACTACTGAGTAATATAATTTATTTATTAATAGTAGTATTGTAGTAGTTGTGTGTGATTAGATGTTTAATTATTTCTGCAATGTCAAATTAATTCGAGACTTGTTTGAATGATATAATTTTGTGATAACTAATAGTTTACAAGCTTAAAAACGTTAGATGTATGCCTAGAAACTAATTATGTCGTCAAAGTCATAGTCAGATACATGTTATGTCATTTATCTAAGTAAATAAGAATAATGAAATAGTAGCATGTAAAAACAATTATATCCCTGTTCCCAAAAAAATAGTTGATAATTGGCTTTATATTCATCAGTCGTTGACACTATTCTTATACTTTCTATTGTATTTGAATCTAACCTAGACCAGCATTGAAAACCTGGGGGCACTGGACGGCCGTTTTATCCCAGTAGGGTACTCCTCATCAGTGTAAATTCACGATCTTGAACATTCAGTCTCGCGCGCGAATACTTAATCTCTAGATCATCGAGGTGACAACCAGTGGTGTTAATGTCTAACTTCAAACGATCCATGATCTTGTGCAACCATTCATCGATTGTCTGAGGTGGATGACTGTTTCAAACCCAGGATTGGATTGGACTCTACTGGATCTCCACAAATCCCCATACTGATCAATATATATATACATATATAAGTTTTCTTCAGAAAAAAACGAACTACGAGGATTACTTTAATTTCCGTAGTTGTTAGACGAATTATAAGAATCAAAACTCTAAACGATCAGTATTATTTGAATGAAAATGGGTCAAACTGATCCAAGACAAGAATAATAGATATTTAAATACAATGTGACTACTAACCATATTCATCATTAATGACTCTGACAGCCCATTTCGAGTATTTATTTATTAGACCATATTTAATTATCTAGCCACTACCCATAAATAAACCGTAATCTGTTGAAAACACTAAAAAAATAAAACATTCTATCAAAACACAAACTATCATTCATAATTCATTGAAATAATCATTATGAGAAGTAACATTTAATAAGGTGTACAGTTTATATGGAGGTAGAACAAAGTAAACGGATTGTTGTTGACCAAAGTGATTATCATGAGAATATAAAGAATTATCACTATCCTTTAAATTAATCTGTTTCAATCGCCAATGATCGGCAGAATTGGACAAAGATGATGTTGATGTTGTGGTGGACCGATGACAACGTGAAGCATTCTTAGTTCTGTATTTCAGAGTAAATCGACAATTTCTTAAAAATGTCGGTGAATTCAAATAAGTCTTCAATGCTAATTTAATTGGTACCAAGTTGTATTTTTTATTTGAAGTGACCTCAGATGAAAATGATGAAGAGAACGACAAAGTGTTACATTCAGAAGTTGTACTATCATTTGTAAATTCATAAAAATTGAATGATAAATCAACACCTTGATCTAATAAACGCTTCCATTGACAACATAATCGTTTCCAAATTAAACAATTCAATCCTAATAAAAGACGTGCTAATTCTAAATTATCTTCAGGACTTTTTGAGGATGAATCATTATTCGACAGGATTTGACAAGGAACACCGCCAGATGATGAGGAGGGCATGATAAACGGATGACCCAATTGTACCAATGCACTACCGCTGCCGTCAGTGATTACAAATCGTATACAAAAGCCTAGATTGGCAAAATCATCATTTTCTAAAATCGAAAGTAAAAATCAGATAAGAGTCGATCAATGTTCAAGTAAGTGGCGAGGTACTTTCACAATCAGGATCCAAATAAAGTATTTACTATTGAACTGGATACAACATAACTCTTTGAGTTATCCTTCATAACTCTGTTACGTTCTAGATCTATCTCCCCGCTAATCCACTTAATGTGCAAAGAGAGGGTTGTCACAATTCAATCTACATCTTTGATGCGATAGGTTACTTAGAGCAACCTTGAGACTTCCAACGCGTGAGTCCAATTAGTGACCAGAACGACCTTGAGGGGAAAGAGAATAAAACTATCTAATCACCAACCTATGAGGACCTGAGACGTTAGTAAGTGGAGGGAGAGAAAATGATTTAACTGGAACTGTTATACAGTTTATTCGAATTAACCAGGATACTGTCCCGAAAGTAGCTTCTGTTGTTCATAATTGTTTCGTTATATCTGTCTTCACAAAAAACATCCCATTTTATATATTCTGTTACATGGATAGTAACAAAATGAAATAAATATTCCCTATATTCAGACTACACACTTTAAATTCATATACATGAAGGAACATTGCATTTCCATAATCCCTAGCCAAAATCAGTTAACTAAATCAACTGACTAAATGATTTATAGGGATAATTTGCATCATATACAAGGATTGGGACTTTTTCTAATGGTTCTCAAAATGACTGAGATTAGCTCGTAATTGAAATTATTTCTGTTGTAGATGCGGGAACTACAGTAATACTTGAAAATGGGAACAACCGCAATTTCGACAATGCAAATATGAACACACAAACTGGTAAACATGAAAATTTATTTCACTCTCCAAATACGTCAATAGTTGTTCCAATGCCAGATTACTGGTACTGATTTCCGAAAACAAACGTTGGTCGCACGATCCAAGTAAGAGCATGAAAACTTTAGATCAGGATTTACTTGACGCCTAAAATAAACCGAAAAAATCACGTTCGTATGTTACTCATGCTGCAACCAATTAAGTCCCTGATTGACAATATTGGTTTCCAAGTTAATACTTTTTAACTTTTTTTAAATGGATGAAGGCAATCAGTGGAAGACTGTGTTTAGCCCAAATATTTCATATTAATTGGCACTCATCAAAAGCAAGGTGTTGTCAGTAGTTATTAAAAGAACCAATGCTCAACATGGGATTATTCAAACACAAGTCATATTCTGAGGCATTACACTGCAGTACTAAGTCGACGACTGACCAGCTCTTTGTAGAATGGAGATATTCATATTGGATAATTATTGAGTCAAAACTAAAGTCATGTTCGTCTAGTCCTCAGTGCGGATTAAATTCTGTTGTTTGAGTCGTCACAGGTCTGAGGTATTCAACATCGCGTAAACTGTATTTTGATGTTACGTTTTCAGGCACTAACGCGATCACTGACAAAAAAACTGAACTGTATTTCGTTTTATGACAGAAAAATTGTTCTGTTCGTTATTACAAATGATTGAAAGATTCTTCTCATACAACATAGAATCTAGGCGAACTAGATGGAGCGGACGACTAATGTGCAACACTTTGACAACAATCCTCAAAGCAATGGACAAAAGAATTCAGGAACTTACCAAGAAGCTTGATATTTAAAGACGTCGGAATTGTAGTAGAATAATTATGTTCATCAGCAACATAATCATAAACATACCAAACTGAAAACGAGAACAACTAAACAGATGTCATTAAAAGTCAATGGCAACAAATGAATTAGAAAATCGTTGCCGTAGACATCCTTATACAGCATCAGAGCTATCATGTATTAACAAAAATAAGGAAACTAGACAATTTGAGATCCGTCTAGCAACAATTAACTATAGAAACCACCTGAAAAAAACGAACACATCTTCCACTTACGATCATCACCAGTGTTGTTAGATAGACGATAAATTTGAAATTCTAAACATCGAGTTATTGTAGCCTGTACATTGATGTGCTCTTTGAACAAATCACCTTCTATATTTGAATATCCTGTAGAAATAGATCTACCAATCCAATCATAATTATTACTTATTAATAACTTTGGTTCTTTGTTTACAATTAGACTATTTTCATATTCATTATCTAATGAAATCATCAAGCTATCTGACAATTGTGTACTAATTTTATTCAACATTGAATCCGTATTCATCTGATTCACGATTATGATATGTGATAAATCAGTGTAATTAAGATGTAAACTAGTCAATGATGATGACGATGACCTTGGAATGATTTCAGAAAGTGAGAAATTGGTAAATCTACAATATAATATCGTTTTATTAGATGTTGTGAACAATGATACAAGGTCAAGATTATTCACTGATTTAATCTTTCTGAATAGATTCACCTTGTACACAGTGGTTATGTCAATATCATTGAAATTAGACAGTGATTTCGGTAATTCACTACATGTTGTCACCCATAATATACAATCACCATTCAATGAACAATATTGTTTAAATAAAATTATTGCTTCAAAGTTGATTAAACAACCAATTGGATAGTTGGATTGTTCGTGCATAATATCATTTAAATTGGCAACATTAACCAAAGAAAGATTCTCTCTATTGATAGGAGTTGAGTTGTTTAAAATCGAAACACTAATTAATTGCCGAAAAGGTGATTGGTCATGAGTAAATGATGTTGAATTGTCAATATTCACCCAAACAAGTTGGTAATGATATCCAATTTGAAAATTATAATACCATCGATAAGCTAAATCACCAGTCAATGATAGATGCATCAAATTTGAATCGATACTACTGCCATTATTAAAAGCAGTAATAGTATCAGCATTACCGATTGCAACAGTATTATTTTCTATGAATTTCCCAGCAAACACATATGACCATAATAGTTTATTGGACGAGGAAGAACGTTCAGTAGGATCGACAGAAGCTTCATGAGAACAACAGGATAATGGACCTAGATTGACAAGAATAATTGTGCAAGACTGTTGTTGTTCCTGTGCTTTACCATAACCATCCATTATACTTTCAGATAAATAATTCACTTGAAATGGAATGATTTGTTTTGCATAAATATACATTCTGGATATAGATGATACTGAATTAGTTGAATGAAATGGCATATCAACACTGAAATTGTGAATAATTGTTCAAATAAAACTGTAGTTTGCTCACATAACATTAACATAAAAGTTATCTTTTATAGAGATCATGTACCGACCCAGGTTGGATCACCACTGAGAACTTGTAATCATTGGAAGGCCATTTCTCTCTATAACGTAGCTCCTCAGCAGTGTGTATGCACGATTCCGCACCAGGAAACGAACTCGGGACCCCCCAGTTCCACGCGCGAACATTCAACCTCTAGACAACTGAGTTGACACCCAACAGTGAGGCGGTCTAGAGGCTAAGCGTTCGTGCTCGAGGTGGAAGTTCCTGGGTCCGACTTCAACGTGCGGAATCGTGAATGGGTACTGTTGAGGACTCCCACATAACAACGAAGCGATCGTCCAGTGCCTCCAGGTTCTTAATGGTGATCTAACTCAAATCAGTTAATGAAATTCAACAATCTTTACAACCTCATATTGAAAAGTAAACTTATCGTTGTACAAGCGATCACTGATATCTAAACTCGGCGGCAGTGAAGATATCAAACAGGAAATGAGAGCAACATGGTTACAAGTCAGAATATTGATATCTACACATTTCTCAACATATGCGATCAATCAGTGACATCTGAAAACATGAAATTATGGTTCATTTAGCTGTAATATTAGTTTTCAAGAATCGAACACACAGTTTAACATAACTGATATGTGACTAGCAGTGAAATCTAGAACGCGTTTCGTTCCATTCTGTCTGAGACTTGTCAGTTGAGTGTCTGTAATCTAGTGTGAAAGTTCACAATAAAGCGGGGAAGGCAGAGGTTGAACAAGTGTATTGCTAAAAATTTTGAAGAGAATAAGAATGATGAGAAACTAAGCTTTTATAATCTCAGTTCATGTACCTATTATACAAAACTATAAAACTCTGCATGAATGGAAAACAAACCAGAGAAGAATCAGTAAAATTAACCTGATTTTGCCGGTATTCGCTAAAATGTACAAATTCAGTAGTCGTTTAGTAAATAAATTCACATGGATAATGAGGTTCAGTCAGTCAGTCACAACGTAGAACTTCGTACGTACGTACATCACGTCTAGTTGCCATACCACACTAGCACAGAGATGCAGTCGTCCATTCAAATCCCATAATGGTAGAAGTAGTAAGAGTATAAGCATTATGTGAAAGATTAGAGTTTGAAGATGTTATTGAAGGAGTATAATACAGTGAAATATATTTGGAAAGAGAAAAAAAGATGGAGACATGAAGAATTCAGAAGATTAGAATTTGGTAGAACACAAAGAGTGGATGCACTTTCTCCATTGCAAACGATTTTGAGCCATGTCATTCAAGGTCTCTAACCATCGGTTGCCATCATCTCGCGAATCCCAACCAGGTAATCTACACCTACCAACATGGCTCAGTCCAATTGTCAATGACTTCATGGATTTGTCCCACGTTTTCGTCTGGCCGCCTCTAGCTTTCTTCCAACCTACTCATACACCATAAAACATTGCACGTCGGGGCAGTCGGTGGTCGGGCATACGTAACACATGTCCCAGCCATCTCAACTGATGAAGTTTCACTACTTCATCAATCGATTTGCCATCCCTACCTAGTACTCGTTTCCTAACAACTGCATTACTTACCCGGTGGTCCCAGGATATACGAGCAATGCTTCGAAGACACCTATGATCGAACACTAGTAGCCTACGAATATCCTCTACTCTTAGTGCCCATGTTTCACTGCCATAAAGTAGGACAGAACGAACTGCTGCACAGTAAACCCGTCCTTTGGTTGCTAGACGGATATCTCGCCTACGCCATAAATGACGCAAGTTGGCGAAAGCTAGACGAGCCTTCTGTATCCGTGCTGAGATTTCGTCACATACCAGACCACAAGGGCTGATGAAACTCCCAAGATAAGTGAAGCCGTCAACACGCTCAACTACTTCACTCCCTATCACTAGTTCAGGTGTCGCTGCAACCCAATCCTGAAGTAACACTTTGCACTTCGAGGGAGAGAATCGCATCCCGAACATGCCTGCATAGTTGCTTATAGTGGTCAGAAGACTCTGCATGTTGTCAGCGTCTTCACCGAGTAAAACTATGTTGTCGGCGTATTCTAAGTCGACAAGTGAGCCTCCTGGTAAAAGTTCAACTCCTGGAGATTAAGATGATGATAGCGTTATCTCTAAAAGCATGTCGACGACAAAGTTAAACAAGAATGGAGAGAGATAATGAAGTTACGAGTTTAGCTACCAGGTTTTTTGTATACAGTGGCGGATGAAGATGCCGAAAAGAAGTTACAGAGCCTCGACGATCAACTTTAATAAAAGAAGAACAAGACAGATACTGTTGACAGCTCTCAAGAATTTCTCGACAAACTCTCTAGATACTCAGAAAAGACTGTAAACGTTTCGCCCAATCAGCATCAAATAGAAAATTCTCAAGAACATTCAGAAAAATAAAGTCTTATGTCACATATTGGTTGGTCAATTACTTATTTTTCTGCCGCATCTAGTGCATTTCCAGAAGTTTTCAGAAGGTCAAGGTCACGCGTAAATACATGTACAAATCTATTTTCTGTAAAATCTTGAAATGATGCTTTAATTCTTACTTTGCGATTTTCATTTGGCATCAACTTACAGTGTGAAATTTATTAATGGATAATCACTAAAATGAACTAGGCATATAAATGTGCATATTTGTTGGAAATTATTTTTTTTTAAAATTCGTATTTGAATGGTGAAGTAAATCTTTACCAGTCAGCAATATTGATGTGTGCGCGAGAATGACAATGATTGGTTGCTTTGCTGAGTCAGATATTTGATAGGATGACAGGTATTATATGTGTTATATATATTCCCCTATCCTTATTATGTATTGACTGTTATTGATTGACTGTTCTTGTTGTTGGATTGTATCGGATTTTGGGTGTGTGGAAATATATTGACGCTCTAGTCAGGCTAATCTCATGTTCTTGATATGAGTTGTGTTAAAGTCCTTTAGAATAGACACTGGGTGGGAATCTAGTGTGGATATTCGTCTAAGGTAAATTAACGTCCCATATATGTGTAAAAAGTAAAAGGACTGTTATAACAAGAAACCCTAGCGTTATAACAATTATCCTACCGTTTATAACAAATATGCATTCTCTTCATTGAATTCAGTCATATCAGTTCTTGTCCAGGTTATAAAAAATATTGTAAATGGGGATGGAATGTGAGATGAGAATCATCTTCAAATAAGAATTTGGAATAGCTATTATTTGACCAGCATATAAGAATACCTCTATTCTTTCCGTTTAGGAATTATTAATGGTATTACACCTATATAAACGTCAAGCCTATGGAGTTTCAGATTTATCTGAATATATACGTGATATCGGATAATTTCATGAACTAACTCGATAGAATTCAATCACAATTAAAGACTAGATAGATAAAATATTGGTTATTACTTCGTGAGTAAACAATGTAGATATCTATGTCCTAAAATAGCAAGTCATGATCCAAATCATTCAGTTTTAAGGTTTCATGCTATGGAACTGAGTGAATCTCATGAAAAGCATCAATTCTCTCCAAAGATCATAGATAAACATTATATTAAAGAGTACCAACTACAGAAACACATAGATTGAACAGAAATCCTCGCTAAATGTCTCTAATCGTTATTGACAATTCTAATGTATCGCAATTATAACCTGAAATAAAACTTAAACAAAGATGAATGGTGGCTAGCAGTAGAATCCAGGATGAGCATGTCATCCCATTTGGGACTCTTTAGCTGGATGTAACTGCATCTCAGAGTTGATGTTCACTCTGGGACTCGAACCTCAGTACAGTTCGCTTCAAACACCGTCGCATCACCCACATAGCTACTGAGTCCTGGTGTTTGAAGCGAACGATACTGGGTTCGAGTCCCGAAGTGAACATCAACTCTTGATCCAGGTAAATCCAGTGCATCCTAGATTACACTGCTAGTCACTATTCATCCATGCTTATGACTTAAGGAAATATTGAGGCAATTTGCACAGGATGTATATATGCTAATAAGAGACTGATCAATTGCAATCCTAACACATCAATAGGAAGATTCAAACAAACAGTAGAAAAATATCTGACTAACCAATTTCCAGAAGTGATTACTTCGACAGGATTTTCTTCTTCATATATTACTTGTACACCTTTCAATAATATTAAACTGTAATCGGATGGCAGATATAATACATTGATTTCATCTGATGTATTCATATTAAATATCAATGGAATAAAGATAGTATTATCCTTTTCATTATTATTATTATAAGTAGTAGTACTATCATTATTATGTACAGTTTGTAAATAAAAACAACCCTGTGTATTATTCCATAGAATTTTCCCAATTACATACAAAGATGATTCTGAATGATTCTTTAATGAGGTTTCGGTCATCATTGATGAAATCGGTGTTGAACGTTTCAATAAATGATGATATTGTTGAAATTGATTATGATGTAATTGAATTTGTAAGCTAATTTGTATAATAATACACAAATGAAATAAGGAGAAAAGATCATTTTTAAGTCTGGGTTTCTTTCAGTTAAAAGAAAATATATGAATCACAATTCTGATGAAAATAACATGAAATTATGTTAAAATAGATGGAAAGTTCCTAATTGTAGAATCTAGGAAGCACGTTTCATTCTACTGGAGACTTGTCAGTTAAATACAACTTGATCCTAGTGTTTATGTTCATTATGCGGATATTTGAATCTAATATGCTCTTTAAAAGTATAACGCATTATTTACTGAGTTATGGATTTCAAATAACCACTAAATTGCTCAACGAACAGAATGTTTACATTTCTATCAAGAGTGGATGTGCACTATTTTATTTTATTTAAACACATAAATATTGGTACAAAGGGGCACCAGACACATATGCGCCGCACAAATCTTATTCGATTCGTGAGATGGCCGTGATACTGCCCACATGCCCAAACTGAAGTAGGTGGTATTCTTAGGGAGCCACACCCCCAGCCTTTGACCTAAAAGTCTGATGCACAAGGCAGTAGAACATCGTGAGGAGATGCAGTCTCATGGTAGTCGGTGACCAACGATAGGTTCATATACCAGTTGTTTCCTTAGGATCTTGGAGCACATGTGCACCATTGGTTTGGAATCAGGGTTTTCCAACTTCCCTAGGTGGACTTTCCGTGTTCACCAACCCGGCTAAAGCGCCGGACATTCGTTTTTCGTCCTCTCAATTTTGTAAACAACAGTAATGCCACGAGAAGTCAGTGAGTAGGACTTCCCTGTCAGAGGCTATATACGCGTGGCCATGTGAGACCATTTGGAGAGGGAGAGCGGACTCTCCCCACTCTCGGCCGTACCAGGGCATTTGGGGGGATGTGCACTGCTGAAGAGCCACCTAACAAAACGAAACGGCCATTTAGTGCTTTCAGGTTTTCAATGGTGATTTAGCTAAGATTGGTTCGAGATTTTAACGGTGAAAATATTGGCAAGTAGTTTAGTTATTTTGATGTTATCAGAGAAAAATTCTGACCAATCTTTGTTGGGATATATATATCCGGTGTGAACGATTTAGATAATTATTCGTAATTGAATGTAGTTTCAAATAAAATAATTATTTCTTATTACGATCAGATATTTGTGCAGATCTATTCACTGATGGTCTTACCTTAAATCTTGAGTTTCAAACTTCTATTGTAATTTCTACCTCTCGAATTTATTCTTTCTTCTGCAATCCCTAATGTTTTCTATAAGCACTCATAATGTTAGTACGTCTACTACAGTGGAACTTGTTTTGATAATTTTATCTTGCTGTGCAGATATGTATATGATGTGGAAATTTGAATCAATGTGCATATATCCCAGATTCAAATGAGATATTCAGTCAGTGATACACGATGTAGAATCTAGCAAAGCATATTATTTATGAATAACTAACCACTCAAGTTAAGAGCTCCAAACGTAATAATAATAATAGTCACTATGGAGGTGCGCTGGTTGAATTTCAGTGAAATCACAAATCGATCTTGATGTGTAGGCGAGAAGATAATGACTGGTTGTTTGGTTAGTCAGACTAGTAGATAGTCTGACAGGTACTAGATGAGTTCTATATCCTCTTATTCTTATTATTACTGTGAATGTTGTCGGTTTTTTGGTGTGGAAAATAAGTTCTAGTCAGGTTGGTCGCGTGATCTGTGTTATGTTGAAGTCATATAAAGTCGACACTGGGAGGGTATCCAGTATAGATATTCGTGTAAGGCAAATTAGTGTCCCATTCGTGTAAACAAGGAAACCTGAGCTTTATAACAGATTTAAGTTAAACAATCATTAAAAGCATAGGGTTCTAGTGAGACGTCATGACCAATGGAACTAAGCCTTATCGAGTGAGAGGAATGTATCTACCGAAAACAATGGATGGTCGCGCAATATTATGGTAGGATTAGAATTAGACTTATACACAACTGGATCTTGGCTAAAATGGCCTAGAGATTGCGCTAACGCACAAGACTGGAGGTTCCGTGTTCTACTTCACTGAAATAATATTATTATTATTATTACTTTTAGGACATACCGTGTTTCGCATACTTGAACATGCCATAAATAGTTCGTTGTTGTTGACAATGATGACGATGAATTTGATGGTATAAATTGTGTATCATGCGAGGTATAAATGCATTTAAAACCCTGATCTGTTGTTGATAATGTACAGATTTCTTTAGAATCCTTGTTTAAATTATACGATTTTTTAGAGGATTGAAACCAATTAATAACATCGTGTAAATCAATGATATTGTCTTTTACGAAATTGAAGGATTGATGATTTTCTTGTACGTTGGATATGAATGGGAATTGTATAAAATCTTCTGCATATTGATATGATTTGAAGTTGATATTTCTTGACTGAATGAACAAATTGCATAGTAAACTTTGAAATGATTCAGACAATGTACAGTCTTGATTTCTGAATATATTCTCCTGGAAATAAGAAATAATTGTATAAACTAGAGTGCATGGATATTTGTTAAACAGAATCTTATCAGTATTATCGTTACTTACTGTAAAATTAATAAGTAGTATAAACATTTCCTACTAATAATGAAATGAGCAACTCTTAAATAAAATTGCCTATCACAAATGTGCATTAACACAAATTATCATTACAATATAGGCACCTCGAGAGGCGATGTCGTGGATGAGCAGTGCTGAGGAGTCGCACAATAGAACGAAACAGCTGTCCAGTGCTTCCAGGTTTTCCCTGGTGTTCTAGCTTCAATTGACTCACGCTTTCAACTATGTAAATAGTAAATCTCCACAAAACACCCCTTCTGATAATAATAATAATCATATGCTCACTAGTGACTGAAGTCGAGAGGTGAATTCAGGAGTTCTAGTGAGAAGCAGTGACCAGTAGAGTTCAACCACGTCTGTTATGAGATAGGAACTCACTGAAGACAATTAGTGAACGGTTGCTCAACTTCGTGGATTGGTTGAAGTTAGACATAAACACCATCGGATGCCGGCTCAGTGGTCTATCGGTTAAGTGCTCTGGCTCGAGACTGGTAGGTCCTGGGTTCGAATCTCGCGAGGCGAGGTCGTGGATGGGCACTGCTGAGGAGCTCCATAATGGGACGAAACGGCCGTCCAGTGCTTCCAGGTTTTCCCTGGTGTTCTATCTACAATTGACTCACGCTTTCAACTATGACAATGAATTGAAAAAGATGAACAGCAAAATTGAAATAATCCAGTAGAAATAATAATGAGAAAGATTCAACATTTAGTATATGGTTCGAAAAGACAGAATGGTAAGGTATGTATAAAGGAGTACTGAAACTCAAGATCTACAATAAAACAAAAAGTGAAGGTACCCAGTGCAATTGTAACCGGTTGTGAGCCAATCTAACCAACATCTCCAACCACTGATAGTAATAATCATAAGGAACTTAACCAGAGAGCCTATATTTTCCGTTTACAGTTAATATCAAAGATTCCATAAACTGAATTCAAGTCTTGATTTAGTTTCTTCGGACTACGTCTACCCCAGTCAACATTACACGTTGAGATAGACGACAGCTAATGAAGTATAACACATATCCCACCTGCCTCAGTCAATACAAATTCTTAACCTTATCAATCAAAAACTTGTTTATCATAAACCATTTCAAATAAAATGGCACAACATACCTTGTAATGTATAACTTTCTTATGTTGTATTAAACCATTAATTTGATATGCTAAACAAAAATTAAATAAATAATTTAAATTATGTAATAATAATGAAAAGTTTTTCTTAGTTAATTGTTCATTAAAATTAAAACAAACACTTGGACATTGAATAGTTGACTTTGAATAAGAGATATTGGATAATTTATCATCTATATCTATGATGGATGATGATGAATAGATGCCTGGAATAAGTAGAGCATAAAGATCTATACATTGTTTTGACATTGTTTTGTCATAGTAATCATTATCCACATTATTATTACCAATGTAAAAAGACCAAACATTAAATAGTTTAATAGTTTGTCGATATAATAGTTTATCAATGGATTGAATAACTTTATCAATATTCAATAATAAATAATGTTGGTTAACCCCTTGGTGATAATTAGGATTGGTTCGTTCGAATTCCAAAAAAATTCCATTACAGTGACTAGAGATAAGAGATAAATCTATTGATGGAATTAATCCGACAGGAAATGATGTTGATGATGGAGAAGAAGAAGGTGGGGATAACTGTGACAAACAACATACATGATTACAATTTGAAAGTATTCTAGGATGAGGTAATGTTTCAATATATGTTTGATCTGGTATAAAAAGCCATACCTTACTTTCTCGATTCTATGAAAAGCAAAAATAAACAAGAAACACAGAAAATTAACGAAAGGATTTAAAACGGATTATACAAGACTGTAACAATTAATGTTTCATTTGTAGGTATTACATAAATTTTTTCAACTTCTATACAGGATAAAATAAGCCTTAAATTTATTCAATGAAATGCTATCAGCTTGTATAAGCTTAAGCAGTCGAATTCAAGAGTGAAATAGTGGCCTCAGTCAGTCTGCTGTTAGAGGTATGAGTGGCCTAATCAGTATACATTAAATGTTCAGATCATAATATCATACAATTTCACATCTTTAATGCCGGCTCAGTGGTCCAGAGGTTAAGCACTCGCGCGCGAGATCGATAAGTCCTGGGTTGGAATCTCGCGAAGCGGGATTGTGAATGCGCATTGCTGAGGAGTCCCACAATAGGATGAAACGGCCATCCAGTGCTTCCAGGTTTTCCATGTTGGTCAAGCTTTAATCGACTCACGATTTCAACTATAAAATATTTTGAAATACACTGATGATTGTTACATATAAGCCTGTTTTTTCCCTGCTACTCATTTATAATTTCAACGTCATATAAGATGTTTCCTTCCAGCTAATTGCAAGGATGTTACCGATATTTATTGTTATAAAAAAATTGTTCCAGTGATTTATTTAATTAAGGCTTAGATATCAACTGAAGAAAAAGAATTCTAAATCATAAGATGATAGGCATAAGCTTCTCACTACCAAAAATCATAAATATAGGCTCTAGTATTAATCCAACTACCAAACGTACTTTAAATCATGAGTTCTAATGAATTTATCATTCGGTACTTTAAGAAAAACATTTGGATTCCAACCACACTGGATTCGAACCACCATTAGCGATTCGACCATATTGAAGCCAGATAACTGGCATTTAGGGTGAAAAAAAAGTACAAAGCCATGTTACTTATACTCAAACGAGTAAAAATGTGTACTTCATAAATCAGTTATACATGAAAACTAACAACTATTGGATGAAAAATCTTATGAATGAACAAAATCTGCTTTCTAAATCTCTACCTTGGTGGTAATAATAAGATTGCAGTAAAGTCTTACATTCTCAAATAATTCATGAGAATTTTTTTCATGTTTGATGTTTCAGTCGGCAATATGACAAATTAATTATATGAAATGAACGGTTTTACAGTGAGACACAAGCTTAACTAGAATGGATGCAATAAGATAGCTTAATGATTAATACGTTGATCTTCCAACCGCTGGATGGCGAATTTGTGTATTAAACAAAAGTAGACTTCATACTGTTGACAGACTACAACAATTACTCCAAACGTCCTCCAGACGCTGGGAGGATATTATTACGCAACCCGTTTTATTTGTTTTTAATCCCATGAATCCTTTATTACCTCTAAAATTATCACATAATTTATCTTATCTATCTCTGAACTTCACTCAATTATTACACCACCCACCCTTTATGTTACCTTGATTCGAACACCTAATTACCTCTGACCTTTTGTTATTCCAACGCTTCACATTTATTTTACTTATTTATTTAAACACATAAATATTGGTACAAGGAAGCATCAGATACATATGCGCCACACAAATCTCATTCGATTTGCTTGAGGGCTGTCATACTGCCCAGGTGCCCGAAATGAAGCAGGTGGTTTTCTTAGAGGGCCACACCCGGAGCCTTTGACCCAAAGATCTGATCCACAAGGCAGTGGAGCATCGTGAGGAGATGAAGTCCCATGGTAGCCGGTGATCAACGATTGATTCGTACGCCATTCGTTCCCTCAGGATATTGGAGCCCATGTGCACCATTGGTTTGGAATCAGGGTTTTCCAACTCCCCTAGGTGGATCCTCCACATCCACCAACCCGGTTAAAGCGCCGGACATTCGCTTTTCGTCCTCTCACTTTTGCAAGCAACACCCCCGCCACGAGAAGGCAGTGAGTAGGACTTCCCTGGCAGAGGCTACATATTCGCTGGCCATGTGAGAGCATTTCGAGAGGGAGAGTGGGCTCTCCCCATTCTCGGCCGTACCAGGGCATTTGGGTGGCTTCACATTCACTTATGTCAATTGTCCCACACTAAATATTATGTCAATGCTAAAACTCAAATACATATTTGGTTATAAGCAGCTGACGAGAAACCACGAAATACAATGAATTCATATTATTCTGCATCAATATTTGTTCTGGCTTTATTTCAATTCATAAAGGGAACTAATTGTATGAAATTTTAGAAAGTATTCATTCTTTAACAACTATCTAGAAAGAAATTCAGAATATTTCTAATAACGATTTCTCTATTCAAATTGGATAATCACCATCTAATCCGGAAGGTTTTAAGACATCAAGATTACCCAGAATCTAATCAATACTGTTATTTTATATATATGTATTAACCTTCAAGGTTTAAGAGTAGGAAATTTCTGGAGAACTAAGAAGTAATTAACAACAAAATGTTTAGTGTTCAGTGTGTAATAATAATCAAGATAAAAGAAAGAAGAATAAAGATGGATAGTGGCTAGCAGTGGAATCCAGTTTGACGCGCGTTTCGTCCTATTTGGGACTCGTCAGCTGGATGTACCTGCATCTCAGAGTTGATATGCACTCTGGGATTCGAACCCAGTACCTTTCGCTTCAAACGCCATCGCGTTGTCCATTCAGCTACTGAGTCCTAATAGCCACTTACAATGCTTGTGAATTAAAGCTATATAGAGGTGATACGTACAGTAGTATGCAAATATTCCAATTAGAGACTGATCAGTTGCAGTCCTCAAACATCAATGGGAAGATTCAAACAAACAATACTAAGTGAATTCAAACTTCACCCCATTGCACAAGCAAGTGGCTATCAGGACTCAATATCTGAGTGGATAACGCGATGGTGATTGAAGCCAATGGTACTGGGTTCGAGTCCCAGAGAGAACATCAACTCTGAGATGCAAGTACATCCAGCTAACGAGTCTCAAATAGGACTGACCAGTTACAGTCTGACAACATCCATGAGAAGATTCAAACAAACAATACCAAGTGACAGTTAAGGAAGAATAAACGTAAAAAAAACAACTACAAAACCCATTTACCTGTTTATAATATATTCGACTTTCTTTCAAATTATGTATCCGAATCCAAGAATTTATCGGACAATTCAATAAAAATTTTAAATATTTCTCTTCATTTGTTATTACATTCCATTGTATAATTATATTATATATAGAATGACTAAAACAATTTGAATGTGAAGTTATTTTAATAAATGCGGTATGCTTATCTTTAATAAGGAATATTCGACTAATACATTGGACATATCCATAAATAGAAGTATAAGATGATAATGTTAAAGAAGTAGTAGTAGAAGAAGAAGAAGAACTCGAGAACGATTGAGACATTTTCAAATATTCATAATGAAATCAAATTAGATGATGATTTTTGTAGATTGTCTTGAGGTTTGACAACTTGGACCGATGCATATGTGTACCTGGTCCTACGTTGTAGCTGACTAACTGACTGACTTGTAGACTGACAGTTATATATATGTATATAGAAACATTGATTATTCAATGTATACTAAAATAGATGAAAATAAAAAGATCAGTTATAATGTAAAAAGATGTATTGGATAGTCAAATTGAATTTAGATATGTTACGTAATAGAAAGAAAGAAATGCTTGAGGTCGAGTTTTTATTTGTTTATTTTATTTAAACACATAAATATTGGTGCAAAGGGGCACCAGATATATATGCGCTACACAAAAATAATTTGGTTTGTGTGAGGGCTGTGATATTGCCCAGGTGCCCAGACCGAAACAGGTGGTTTTCTTAGGGGGCCACACCCCGAGCCTTAGACCTAAAGGTCTAATCCACAAGGCAGTGGAGCATCGTGAGGAGATGCAGTCTCATGGTAGACGATGACTAACGATAGGTTCATATGCCAGTTGTTTCCTTAGGATCTTGGAGCACATGTGCACCATTGGTTTGGAATCAGGGTTTTCCAACCCGATTAGAGCACCGTACATTCGCTTTTCGTCCTCTCAATCTCGTAAACAACAGTAATGCCACTGTGAGAAGGCAGTGAGTAAGACTTCCCTGGCAGTGGTTGTATGCACGTGGCCACGTGAGAGCATTTTGAGCGGACTCCCCACCCTCGGCCGTATCAGAGCATTTGGGGGTTGGAATTAAACACTGGTAGCTGAGAAATCATTGAATATATATGAAATATATAAGACAGTTGATTCCTAATAATTTTGGACATCATATTGACGTGTACTTATGAACAACATTTGAAGTACGATACCTTTAAATTAATGAGTTACAATTGGAATTCACAGTTTACGTGACTGATTAAAACTTTGAGTATTCCTCTTAAAGCAAGCACAGATGAGCATAAAACTATAGATTATTTGAAACTGAACAATCCCCAAAAACCTATTTTTAAGAGAAATAATGATCCAAATCTCATATGCAGTCTTCTAACCAAAAATACAAGGATGTTCAGAATGCAACTCTCCAACTTGCATCAGAGCCTCAATTAATTACAAAGATTTAAGTAATTGAGAGTATCGTCCGATGTTCATACTTTGCAGTCTCATAAGTCCTCATATGTTGCTATCTGACGAAATATCGACACTGACTCGACTGGTTTCTCTCAACTTGTGTCATCTGTGACATAGGTGAGATTTTAATCTACCGACCAAACGATCAGTTTACTGCACAACAGTTCACTCCATTCTACCTTGTTGGTGTGAAATACCACACCTACATCACCATCCCAACATTAATAGATATTCGTACGTTACTAGCATTCGATCATAAGTGTCTTCCAAGCATCAATCGTGCATTTTCAAACCACGAGTTAGTAATATCGAGGATCCAAATAAAATACTATACTACGTAAGCATGGCAAATCGATTGATGACGTAGTAATTATTCATAAAATGATGAGGTGGTTGGAATATGTGTTACGTACTTTCAAGCAAAGACTACCTCGACATATGATCATGTTGTCTGGTGTAGTGGTAGGTTGTGAGGAACATAGGAGAGGCCAAATCGAGACATGGTGTCAATCTATGAAGACACTGACTATTCGATTCAGTCAGGTTAATAAGTGTAGACTATTTGATTGTGATCCATGTGATTATCGTAACCAGTGTTTAGAGACTTTGAGTAAGATGGCTCGAAATCGTTTGAAATGATGCAGATCTATCCATTCTCTGTCCTCTTTCAAATTCTAATATTCTGAATTTCTCGTATGTTTTTATTTCACTAACTTATATTTCCTTGGATCTTATATTTGACACTGATCTTTTCTATTACGAATGATACTGACTCTACTACTCTGGGATATGTCCAAACAATTTAGTCTCTCTGTGCTATAATGGGATATGGCAAATTGAAGCGTTGTGCATACATACCATATTCTACCTTGCTACTAACTGACCTAAATATAGTAAGCATTCAAACATTCAACCACATTTTATAAGCATATATTTATATTGTTACAACGGATAGAAGTGAAAGATCACTGTCTAATCTGAAAATAAACTGCCAACTGTCACATGAAAGAAGCGAGAGGAACCCAACAATGTTGACCTATCATTTTTGCAACTGATTAGAACTGGTGGACAGACGCAGTAGATGCAAGTTTACCCTATAACTTTCTAAAGAAACTTTTTGCTTGAATTCCCGCCTCTCTTGGAATACTTTTTATCTCCAGTTCATTCTTATTCATATTTTCATAAATTCGAGAAGTGCATTATAGGAAAATAGTTTAGATAGGAAATAATGTAACTGTTACTATATACTCATTATTTTATTGGTCTTCTGTTATTTAACAAGTAACAAGATTATGTTTGTTTGGTTGGTTCTGTAAACCAGAAGTTGTTTGCAATGTTGAGATTGAAGAACTAGTAAGTTTTGTGAACAAAAGTTGACTATACGAAACAAATGTGCATTGCCACAATAGTTTCCAGCATCATCTAGCTGAAATCAGTCTGTGAAGAAGAATTACTCAGCAAACCAAATTCTTCGTTATTCTCAGCTTTTATCAGTGCAAGAGAGTGACCAAATACCAGTATTGTAAAATCTATTCAAAGAGAAATCCTGTTGGATTATTTACATGAAGTAAGGAAAGGAAGTTTAAAATTTACTTTTTGCACGATTTAATGCATTCCAACAGCTAAACAGAGATTCAACACATATCTCTACATACCGTTAAAACACACCTCTTTCTTAACCTACGTACAGTTATTAACAAGCCATTCGCTTGTTTGAGGTGTTTATGAAGGTCATTGTTGAGTCTCGTAGTTTACATCACGCAAAGACCTTGGTTAGTAAACCAGCAAAAATCAGGAAATACTGGAGAGTTATTAGGTCGTAGGACATGAATTATGAAGTCTCCACCCACAAAACCAATTCGGAATCAAACCCTGAACTTTCGGATTTCGTAACGAGCACTTAACTTTTAGATAGTCGAGCTAGTATCCAATGGTTTACATTTATAACTTCAACTAATTCGCAATACTGTGCAGCCATCCCTCAATGCCTTTGGTACGTAAATGCATCATGCGTAACATGGACTATGCTGGTCATGGCTTCTCAATAGAAATTCAGGAACTATTTCCTTAAAATTAGTCACTAGTGGATACATGATTATTATCAATGTAAGAGGTTTGTGGAGACTGTCGACTTTCATTGTTTCATACCACATACCGACCTTAGTTAGGTAACCATCAACCACAATTTCCTCTTAGTTTCGAGAATACATCTTGAAGCTAGTAGTCAATAGTAAACAAACAATCATTGTTTTGTCAGGCACTCTGTAGAGATCAGTTTAGTGCAATTCTATCTCAGTTATGATTGTAGTTATGCTAGTTTTGGCTCAAAGCGACGACAAAAAAAGAGTAATATGGATTATGCATACGCTCTATTTTAAAGGACAATTGGATTGCAAGTATTACATGACGAACCATTCAGTAAGTTTACGGTTAATAAAATATGGCGACGATCGGATCAAATAAGTGAATATGAACTTATATTCAGTGAACAAATTTTGAAAAAAACTATTCACCTGTCGATTGACAACAGTTATGAAATCAAACCAACAAACAAAATCTTTTCCAAAAATACTATTTGTCCAATAAATACGCGAACTGAGATTACAAGGATATTCATTACAAAATTGAATGTACTTCAATACTACTCCGATTGAACGGTAATATCCGAAACGTCATGCCGTATCCGTTGTTTAAAACATCCCTGTAAGACCTCGGGTTTCTCAGTCGTATCGTGATAACCGAGATACACACAAACAATTATAACTGATTCAGTTTGTTTTGTTTTTTCATGGACAAACTTCATGAATTAATAGTACTTAAGGACAGACAAACTATCAAAATTACACTGATTCAAGAAGGTTAATGTTTGAACACAATTTAACACGTTGTTTGTTCAGCTATGTTTATAACTAACGACCCTAGTATAGTTCAGTTCGCATTTTTATTGGACATACCTATGAATTACTTATACTGAAGAAGAATAACACCTCACTATATTATCGTATATATTTGTGAATAAAAACAAGACAACATACAAATGTTAGGGAAATGCATTTATATGGAGCAATTTCGTTTTGAAAGCAAGGAGAAATGAAGCACTAATAATGAACACCGAAAAAAAAAGAATAGTTTAGCTGAACTACCTCCATTACTATCGACAATGTAAATCGAGGAGGGAAACAACGAACAGACAGATTTATATATATATATATACAAAGAGAAATCAATTTAATAAAGGGGTGTGTATTTGAAAAAAACGAGAGTGAGTACATTGAGGGCAAATAAAGCACTAAATATATTAGGGACTTTTTTAAATTCAATTTAAAGAATAAAAATGATGTATCGAAACAATCAGTTTTGTATGTGTACAACACAATAGATTAATGAGAGAAGAAAAAAAAGAGAAAACAATAAGCATGAAAGCGATAACACTTTTAAATGCATACATTATTGTTACATAATGCTTATTTGGTTAATACCAGTGAAGATGATGACGATGATGATGGCAAACCGTGAATTAATAAAGCACCCAATTGAGATGATACTGGTTGATTAAATTCTAATTGAGCATCATAACGAGATAAAAAATTGAAATGTCCTGGCATCCAATCTTTTAAAGATTCTATACAACCATTTAACCATGTAATCCAAGCATCACGTTCTTGTGGAGTATCAGCACAAAGTAAATGTCTATGTGGAAATTGGAAAAATTGGATAGATAAAACAAAACAAAACTTAAAAAATTGAAATTTTAGAATGTTGATTGAACGTGTGCACACACACACACGGTCTAACTACTCATATACCGGATTTATGTACTCTACGTTGAAGCGCAC